TTTCGTGTTTTTTAAGTGTCTCCGTAGCGTGTTGAGTTTTTGCTCGCCATGAGACTAAAAGTGCCGGTATTTTGTGCAGGTGTTAATGCCAGTCCTCGCCACCACCCTGCGGAAGTCAATTAGCTCTAGAACTCGGAGCTGGGAAAAAAAGCCGCTGTGATTTGCAAAATGTCATTTATCTCCTCGTTGAGCAAGGAATCCTTGGCTCTGAAAGAAGGAGGTGCCCGCCACCTTCAATTAATACGGAACAAACACATCATTTTCCCATTTCGATACCGTGGTGGAAATCTAAGCAAGGGTATGGTCACGATGTTAAAATGTATAATGGTTAATAAAAACAGGCAGCGTGCTCGTTGTGTTCAGCACTGGAACGTTGCTTAGTATTGCTTCGAATGAACACTGAATAACATGCTCCTTGTGAATCCATGATGGTCAAACTGCAGGTGACAGCAATTAAGTGACTCGAGGCAGGATGCGGATTGGGAATGTCAAAGGGAAATTACGTGACCACAGTTAATAAATTTCACTGATTCCAAAAATGAGACTGTAAGGTTAGTGAAAATAACGAAGACGCACAGCAGACAGTTTCTCTGCTGAAATCTGAGCTACGTAAGATTTCCACCCTTCTGACCGCAAGAATGACAGACGTTTGAAAAACACGGTTGAACATTTAGGTGAAGCATACTGAAAATCCACATCTGGTCAGCAGTCCAAACGCTGCCGTAAGTAACATATGGGTAGTGATACATTAGATTGCTCTATAAAATCTCCGATGGAGTTTGAACATTTACAGCTTCTGGGGACATGAGTTTCAGGTGTACAGGGAAGATCATATTTAATAAACTAATGTGAGATGTAACAGAGTGCACTTTTGAGCATTTTACTGAAGGTTTACAATATTCGTTGTACACAGCAAGGGAACTGTATCTGTGCAAACTACAGAACTTGGTTTTAAGCAAAGATGGGGTCAGATGTACCCTGGCCCCCTTTTTTGTAGCAGCCGGTCTACTTCTTGTCTACTGACTTAGGGGATCAGTATGGTATATATCTACAGAAAAGCAACACAAAACCCAAGGTATAATTTTCACTGCATTTGCTTTGTTTCCACCCTGCCCTTACTCCTTTGCACTGCTATTATTACACCTTTTTGTCATCTTCTTTTTTGTCACGGAGATCTGGTTGTAAGAGGTAGTTTTGCATTACATAAACGTCCAATTCATTTAGTGGGCGAGGTAGGACAGGATACTGTTACCCTTAGAAAACTATTAAGTAACATCACTTTTCTCTACTATAATTTTTGCCAACTGATTGTGGACTCCAGCAGTCTTGTGGAAGAGAAACACCTGTTTTCTGTGCCATCAAAAGCTGTACGGCTCCTTTCGGGTACCTCTTTATTAACTTTGCTTTGGCTGGCAGAATTAGGCTCTGAAACCCTGCGGAGTGGAGCAGTGGTTGGTGACAACTACTCATCAGCGGAGATCTGATGGCTAGCAGATTTCCTTGCTCTGAGAGTCCACCCGCCATCTATTTATGACTCCGACAGATGTTTCTTTTGGTTTAAGCCAGTGGAAACCTTCTGGTCTCTTATTTGTAACCCAAAGTTTACAGCCTTGCCCAATTTACGCCCCTTCTTTCTCCCGTCTCCTCCTCCTCGTGAGGATAAAAGGAAAAAACCCGAACCTTGTCTGCACTCCGTTAGTCGCACACCGAAACTTCTGCCTCATACGTTCAGCGTTGTCCTCGCTAAATCAAAGGCATGGCAGCAGCGTTAATAAAAAAAAATGCGGCATCTTCTTAACTGTCTTTGTTTTAGCCGCCCTGGCAGGCCAGTTTGTTTGACTTGGTCTCCCAGAGAGACCTCTGCACCTCGCTTAGGTGAACAGCCCCCCTGCACCCCCTCTGCACAACTCGTCCCCGAGAGATAAGGAACAGCCTTGCAAAGGGACACAGGCGGGTGTTTAGTGGGGTCCAGCCAGCAGCAGAAATACATCAAAGGTAATCTTAAAGAAGGAACCTCTCTTTGCAGCTTTGTCTTTTTATATTCTGAAAGGTCGCTTGTGAACCAACTGTGCCAAAAAAGGCCTTTCCCCAGAAGTTTACTGTTGTTATTTTTTACTTCTTGATTACAGTAACTTGCTTATCCCCCAAACAGACTAAAGAACAATAAACAAATACAAAAGGAAAAGGAACAGCTCATCAATAACAAAGACCTGCGTTTTAAAGCTTTGAGTGTACTGACTCTTACATCTCACTCCAAGCAAAGCAGGAGTCCTGCAGAGAAAGGAATCTAAAAGATATGAATATTATAAAGATAGTAAAAACAATGTTTGCTAAGGATATTTTAACTTGGTGTGGAGAACCGAGCTTTAAAGTGCAGCATACCGAGCAACATGGTTTTTCCCCCACTGCTGTACCTTGTGGAGTGCATAGGGAATTCTGTACTTCAGTGCCTGTGAAATACTGTAACCTAGATGAAGGCAGAAGGTCTGGCTTTCACTTCAAGTTTAAATTTTGAAATTGGGCAGCTCGGAAGTGTTGTATGTGGCTTAAAACCCGGCATGTAAACCTAATCCTTTGAATCGTACCAAAATAGCCTCTTGCAAGAGGCAACAATACAGGCCACAAATCGAACTTATTTCTGTGTTCTGCCTTTTTTTTTTTCTGCCTTTTTTTTTATTTTCAAACTCTGAGTACAAAGACGACACTAACCATGGATACCGAAACTGTGCAATTTGGTGTAATTATATTCCCCCCCATAGATTTAATGAAGGACTTTTAAGTACAATTTATCTTTGATAAATAGTCCCTCTGCACAGAATGTTTATTAGATTGACAGCAGAATACACTCTGCAAGCTTTTTTTCCTTGCCACTTATGACTCAGATGAATTTTAATAGGAGTAAAAAGCTTTTATTTGCACAGTAATTTCACTTAAGGATCATATCCTTCAGAAACTGGCAGACACTTGTATGTCTTGATTGCAAAACAGACACTCAAGAGTAAAGAAACACGCGTAAGATGTTATTATTTGACTTGTCACACTGCTGCAATTCTATTTGCAACTTATGTCATCAAATCTCCTATAGGCATCACCTCCCCTCTCCCCAGAGCATACGTGCAAGCGTGCATACGTGCACGCATATGAAGACACGTGCGCTTTACTTTTAGAAAAAGAAACTGCGAGGAGCGCACCGCATGGGATGGAGTTGCTTGCGCGGGGAGAGCGCTGGCTGTATTTTGGGTTGGAAAATGTGAGCGCCGCAATCTTAATTGTCATGATGATGCCTGCGGGAGGCTTGGAGTTAAAGCAGCTTTTTGCATACAAAATGGTGCTGGTTTCCCTGTGCCATATCAATTGTAAGCAAGGTACATGTTTGGGAAAGGGTTCTCAAATCTTTGGGTGCCACTTACAGCTTCTGGAATATTGCTGTGGCATTTTATTACATTTACCGGGGTGGTGGATCAGTTCATTTAACCATTTGCTTGTATTTCTGATAAGAAAAGTATTTCTAACTGAGCGGCTGCACCGTTCTTTGCACATCATCTCGTGTGTCCAAACACCATTTATGGAGGATGGTAATCCTCTGTTACGTTGTTTTAATTCAGCTTTGAAAGCTGCTTTTTAAAGGTGTCATTGCAGAGTTAATCACCTTTTGCATGTATTTCTAAATACCTTGTTCTACTCGCTACGGAAGCAGAAGGTAGAGTCCCCCTTTACCTTCACCATAAGGATATCGGATTTTTTCTGTCTCTGTGAAAATGAAAAGTAAAGACATTTTATTGCTAGTAAAACAATAGCTAATTGTTTTGGAGGAAAACATACTGTTCAAAGCAAGGTGTTGAACTTTACATCAGCAAAATGCACATTTGAATTGTAAATGCAGTTCATCCAATGCTTATTATTAAAACCTTTGTTTAAATTATTGATGAAGTGTGGTGCCGGTCTTCGCTCGGTTGGCCCTTGGCGAGGCCAGAGTTTCATGCAGAGACCTGCTGCCATCTACTGGCTTTCTGCATTCCTTTTCAAGTGCACTGGGACAAATGTGAAGGCCATCTGTCTGAAAAGCAATGAATTCTCTTTCAAAGTGATGACAAGTTTTTAAAAACTAAAAGCCTGGAGCTGAAATTAGTGTACGCACATGTTTTCAGAAAGGTTGTGTTTAAAGGGATGCTCTCGGAGGCTTGAGGTTTGTCATATTGTTTCCCATTTCTAATTGCTATAAGATATACTAGAGAAAACATTCTTTTTTTTTTCCTCAAGGTAGATAGCAGCTGCTGAATAGTTTTGATTGCAGATAAAATAGATTCAGGTTATATATTTCCAAAACGTTCCATCATTCTGCCTGTGCGTGAAAAAATGGAAGTGAAATTGTTTAATACGTTCTAATCGCAAAATCTAAACAAGTTATTAACTTCAAACATTAAATACATGATAAAAATGAATGTTTAAAAAGTAAAAGTAATGTTTAAAATGAATCATGTTGTTGAAAGTCTGGCAGGCTTTCCCAAAAGGTCAATTTCTAATTCAGTACAGCACTGGAAACGAATCCCTCAATATTCCTTACCCACTAAAGATAATGTTCAGTAAGCATAAGGATATTACATGTTTTTCTTTTTTCTTTTTTCTTTTTTCTTTTTTTCTTTTTTCTTTTTTCTTTTTTCTTTTTTCTTTTTTCTTTTAAAATCTGTATCTCCTCTCTCTACCCCCAATTTTTAAATGAACCTGACATTTCTTTACTGTACTTGATTCTTTCCTTTTACATGCTCATTGCTGCAGTTTGGGATTGCATATTTTTCTTTCTACATGGTGAAAATGAAACTCTGAATAAAGATCTCAAAGAGCGG